GAACTACAGTTCTCAGCCCCTCGGTGTGCTATCGCTGAAAGGCTTCAGACAGGCACATTTTCCCCAGTCTTCCCAGCATTATTGTATCCCTGAACACATGGACCTTGAAATGTGCCAGTTGGCAACTCTATGCACTGGAAGACCAGCAAGCTTCGGGAAGATCAAAGAGGGTCTTTCACCGAGTTAATGTCCTGCAGACACAGTTGATGTTTCTCTTGGTGCACATTCCAGGGAACAGCCTTTGGAGCAGAGTCCTGCATTATGAGCTGCTCAGGACAAACTTCAATTTAAAAAAGGACTGCATCTGTCTCCAGACCTGCTTCCCAAATGCACATTCCTCAAGGGGGTGAACAACAGTATCTTCAACATTGCCTCCACTTCAAGAACAACGTCTGGAAAAGATAAGGCTTCAGACGTTTAGGAAGAATCCAATAAAAAGGGCCCTCCTTACCACCAGCCTACGTATATCATAAGACTTTTTAAATAAGTTTTGGGATTCTGACAAATATCTTCTGCTCAAGGAACAATCTCTCAAGATCTACCCTCCTTTCCCTGCATGGCCTCCAGTATTACATGGTGACGTGTGGTCAAAGTTGATTTTCTTCATAAGCCTCTCCTTGAGGAACAGGTGATAATGGCACGATCCAACTATTCGCAGCATTCGGCAGCCATGTGTCTAGAAGCACCCTTGGTAGGACCAGGAACAGGGAGAACCTTGACTGCCTGATACTTGGTGGCTGCTTACAGACTTGCTACAGCTGCACACAGGATGAGGGCAGGGTTGGGAATGTTTCTACCCTCCTCCACCACCCCTCCCACCCACTTTATTTGGAAGTTTGTACATTACATTTTTGTAAACATGGTCCATAAAGTAGATGGTGGCTCAGGTGAAGTGCCATGGTGCAGGAGTGAGGAATGAGCTAGACTTGCACTGAGACAGCATCGAGAGTATTTCACAGCAGAGAGGAAGCGCTGCTCCCACGTGCACCATTTTTGTTTGACCATAACTATACGCTCCCAGTGCATTCCTAGCCTCTCTGAGCCTTGACCACAATACCCACAGGTAATTTAACCTAACAGTGAAGCAGACAAAGGATCAGTCAGCCCAGTTCCCAAACAACATGGCCTCGGTTTCCCTTAGCTGCTGAGCCCAGTTCAAACTGGTTGCAGACACTAATCAGCCAGTGCACCAATACTGGATCCAAGCAGAAGACAATGATGACATCCAATGGTAGAGGGATGCTTTGACCTGAGTATGTCCATTACGTAGGATAGTCCACCCACTTAATACCTGCATTCTTCCTAAAGGACTCGGGAAGGGGTTATCTGCAACAGACTGACAGGACAGAGGAGAGAGGGTAGCCCTGCCTCTCAGTTTAAGGTCTCATACCAAGAGTGACACTTTTCATAAGGCTGCACTATTACATTATCCTAGTTTATGAGCACAAACACTGGTTGGAGTTTGAACTAAAATTTTTTCAATCATTGCTATTGGGCTGGCAAACTGATCTCTGAAATGGATTTGAGTACAAGACAGACTGATAAAATAATGTTTTCTTCTTCCTGTAGCTCCTGAGTGTTGGCAACTTCAAATAAATTCTTAATAGGTATGAGGTTGTTGCATTATCTTGCTGACACAAGGTGGCAATTTCATTCTAACATTTATTGTAGAAAATGGAAAAGATCCAACAGATTAAAGAAATATCACACTCTTGCTGGGAGCATTAATTTGTAGCTGTTTGTGCTGAACTTAATCTAGGAGTGCTTACTATGAACAATGCATGACCAAAAATGGAAAAGTAGGCTATATCTAAGGGCTAACATCCGTTATAAACAAGGCGAGATGAAAGCAGATATAATAGAATGAATCTTAGAGTATTTTGGTGAAGTGTTGCTCCATTGTGTTTTTTGGTACGGTTTTCAGCACAAGGCCAAGAAAGTTCTGTATCTTAACAAACATATCTCACCCCTATCATTCGATTCTAGCACATCATACCAAACACTGAGACAACAAGGTGCAGAGCTGGATGTACACAGCAGGCCAAGCAGCATCATAGGAGCAGAAAGGCTGACGTTTCGGGCCTAGACCCTTCATCAGAAATCACACACTGATCCTGGAACAACTCACCACTGTTAGGATATCCTGGAATTGACCAGTATGTTTGACTCTGGTGCCTCCTCTAAAATGCTACTGTGCTGTCAAATGAGCTGTCCTGCACAGTTCCTGACTTTTGTCCCTGATATGGCCGACAGAGGGGTTTCACTTTGTGGACAGGGTTCTGCTAGACAGAAATGGTACAGTGGCAGTGCAAGCCAGGAGAGGCAATGCAAGGCAGGGGTGCTGTGAGCACTCAGAGGGGCAAAGAGTGAGTGAGCGCTGTGACAGCATGCAAATAGCCTAGAGATGCAGTGTGGACTAGACCATGAGCTGGGTGTGTGTCCCTGAGCACACACTATCCTTGCTGCAGTGTTACAATGATAGCTACCAGTGCAGCCTGAGTTGTAGCATTCAAGTGCAGAAGGATATTCTACATGGATCAGAGATGTGCCTTGGGGGGTTCCTTCATGTCAGATGCTGACGTCTGTGGAAATTGGTGACAGGTACCCCTGCAGCGCACCCTGAGATGTTGGCGCCTGGTGTTCAACATGGAGCAAACAGTGAGCTGAAGTCACCAGGCACCTGCTCTGGCTTACGTGTTGAGAATTCTCAGCATCTGTTTGTTCAGCACATTTGCGAAGACAGGAAGCTGACTATGAATGAGGCAAATTGTGTCACTGTTAAGGTGTTTAAAAAGCAATAACACCCCTTCAATTGGTAATTGAGAATTTTGCCTCACCACCCAGCAGATGCCTAAATGATAGAAGAAGATGCTCCCAATGTTGGAATTGGTCTTGCTGGCCTTCTTGAGTGATTCTGACACATTTCCCCCTACAGGCCACATCATTTAGGTGTCCATAAAATCCTGCCAATTATTTTCATATTCTTTCACATTGTTGTGTCTTTTTTTAAAAAAGCTTAAGAGATTAAAGAATGAGTTGTCATCTCCTTTTGTATGGAAACGCATAAACGAGATTATCTGTGTGAAATCTTGGAGAAAATGAAAGCACACGAAAATCTTCAAGGTAATTGAAAGATAGGGAGCTAGTTAGCTCATCTGAGCTTTCCTGCTCCTCTGATGCTGCTTGGCCTACTGTGTTCATCCAGCTCTACACCTTGTTATACCTTTAAGGGACATGTTCATGGTACAGTCACTATATTGTAGCATATAATCTGATGATATAGTTATTGCATACTCCATCTTGACTCAAACCACTTGACACATGACATGCAAACAAAAGTATGCTACTCTTTATAACCTGTAAACTTATGTGAATCCAGATACAAGTGTGCCTGTAAATCTTATATTTTTATCTATTAGTGAACTGTAATAAACATCCTTTAATTCTTCAATGCCATGTTATCCAAGCCTAATTTCTTATGTTATGTGGGATAATGTAGGCATTGCCACATATGGTGAAATACCCTGAAGTGGGGTTAGCATAGTGGACGTCTACAAAAAAAAACTCAAGATCTTGATGACAGACATTTGAAAAACCAACTGCAGACCAACCAGACAACAGTCTAGACATCAAAGGATTTGGACAATCAGCTGCATCAGTTTCTCCAAATGCAGACAAACATACAGATATGTAGTGTGGAGACCATTGCATTCTTTGTTTTATTTTACTCATTTTTTGGCTTGGATGTTGAATGGGTCAATCAAGGGAGAACCTCTCCTGGCTGGGTTTTGGCAGGAGGCAGTGAATTTTGGAGGTTTCTAGAGTTGGTACCACTTGTGCTGTCTTTCAAGTTTCTCTCTAATTATCAAACTGTTGAAGGCTCTTAGATAAGAATACCAGCCTGTAAAAAATATGTAAATATTTCTATAAATCTGCTGAAACTTTTTGCATTAAACTGGTGACTTCGGTTAGCACTACTGCCTCACAGCATCAGGGACCCGGGTTCAATTCCAACCTGTCTGTGTGGAGTTTGCACATTCGCCCCATGCCTATGTGGGTTTCCTCCTTGTGCTCTGGTTTCCTCTCTCAGTCCAAAGATATGTAGGTTAGGTGGATTCGCCACACTAAATTAACCATAGTGTCCAGGGATGTGTAAATAGGTGGATTAACCATGGGAAATACAGGGTTACACAGGGATAGGGTACAGGGCCAAGGGTAGGGCGCTCTTTTAAGGGTTGGTGTGGATTCGATGGGCCAAATGATCTGCTTCCACACTGTAGGCGTTCTACGATTCTAAAGCAAGATTTGCAGTTCTGCTTGCCCCTGAACAACCCACTGTCCAAAGATTTCACAAAGGCCTGGAATCAAGAGCCGGAAACTGCTTACATTTATTTTCTTTCTTTAATTTATCCCTTAACTGTGTCTGTCTGTCTGTCTGACTGTAGGCATTATGATCAACACGATTGAGCTTTGGATTATAGATATTAATTAGATTACTTTGTTAGTCTATGTTCTGAAGTTACATTATTAATAATAAATTGTTAATTTTTGTTTAAGTTACAACTTTAGTGTCCAAGGTCTGTTAGTTGCCAAGTCTGGTTCAGAACAACTGGGTAGTTTGGAGAGTCACTGAATGCTTTATTTTCATTGTGTTGCAAATCCAATGATAGTGAGGCTGATTTAGTTTGGCTTGCTATCCCTGTGCTCTAACAGTAGATATAACATGGACCAGCAAGAAGACATAGCTTTTCAACCTAAGGAATTCATAAAAGTCCCTTTACTTAAAAATTAAAAGGCTGAAATTATCAATACAACCAAAACCAAAGGCAACAGACTTGTACCAGTGAATTCTGCATCTCACTCTTTTTAAAAAGAACTTGAGGGCCTGCATTTCTGATTTTAACTTATAAAAGCAGTTAAATGGTCTTGACAGTATAACTACAAAAGTCTCCTACCAGAAAATACAACTTTTGAGTCAGTTTCTATATTTTAAAGCTTACCTCTGTCAAGGCACTAGTTGGTTCCATCATCTTTTTCTAATCAGTGCCAAGATAGGGAAAAAAAGATCCTGCATGATGTCAGCAATCACTATTTGGCATGCACGCCACTTAAAGGCTGGAACCTGCTACTACAAGCCTGCAATTTTTATTTCAACTAGAGGCCTGCAGTTCTTAAACCAACTCTCTCTTACAGAGAACAAGACTGGAAAAGGAGGAGCATCAGAGAAAATGAAAATAAAGGGAAACAGAATAAAAGAAAGGGAAAATACAAAAAAAAAACAAAATTACCACCAAACGGAAATGAAAGGCACACATTTACTTATGCATGGTCATCCAGTGATACATCTACTCAATTACAACACTGCAAACAATATTTCATAGAACCATAAAATCCCTACAGTGTGGAAACAGGCCAATAGGCCCAACAAGTCCACACGGTCCGTCTGAAGAGCATTCTACCCAGATGTTGTTCTATTTTAGATCAAGTGACTGGTGGACCTGAGAAAAGAGCCTAAAAATCTTGCCTTTTTCTTTAAACTATTCATTCACTGGATAAGGGCGTTGCTGGCTGGGGCAGCATTTATTCCCCATCCCTAATTGCCCAGAGGACAGTTAAGAGTCAACCACATTGTTGTGGGTCAGGAGTCACATGTAGGCCAGGCCAGGTAAGGATGGTAGTTTCCTTCCCTAAAGGACATTAGTGAACCAGATGGGTTTCCAACAATTAACAATGGATTCATGGTCATCATTAGACTCTTAATTCCAGAAATCTTTTTAAAATTCAAATTCTACCATCTGCTCTGGTGGGATTCAACCTCAGATCCCCAGAACATTACCTGGGTCTCTGGATTAACAGTTCAGCAATAATACCACTCGGCCATCACCTCCCCACTTGCTCTCAGAAGGAGGAGCTTTGCAAGATTAATACATCTGGCCTTTCTGTGAACAATCAGAAAGATCTAGAAAAGACCTGGAAATTTCCTGAAGACCAGCTGAAGGTAAGAATTAATTTCAGGATTAACAGACTCAACTAATTTCATACAGACTGCAACCACAAGAGTCAATTGACCTGTTTGTCGGAAGATACCGCAACAAAGTATTGATTTGCTAAAGAGAACCGATCAGACAGGTTCCTTCGTCAACACTTCTATACCAATTTTGGGTATATACCTGCTATACACTTCTATACTTGCTTTGGAGCAGGATCTTTTGGGCAAGAATAAAGGCCTTACTATTGACGTATTACTTGAGGACAGATAGATACACATATTAATCCATAGTGATAGGCCAACAACAATTACATCCTTCAGGTGTAGCCAATACTACTGCTGTAATCAACAAAGTTCATCAAACTGAAAGAAAACTGTAGTAGATGCAGTTTGTCACATCAAACCTAAAACTATCCAGCCGTTCTTGATATCTGTATAATATGTAACATGAAAGGACATTGGGCATGTATGTACAGGACATTTGGTTCCAAAGGCCATGCTGGACCCCAGAACAAACTACAGGCAATTAACAAGACAGTCCAACAGCATCTTACTGGCAGCAAGGAAAGTGTTAAGATGCTGCACAAATGCAAATGCATTCATGAAGTAGAGTGAGCCAAGTGAAAAGCAAATGTTGGAAGTTGTCCAATTTTTCCATATTGTCAACTTAACACACCATGTCAATGGTGCAACGTGACCAGAAACTTTACAACTTTTAATGCCATATGTTCGGGAAAGGCAAGATGATACACATTAAAAGCTAATATCAACACAGCAACTATTGTCATCATGTTAGCAGCACACATCCTGATAGACATGCCCTTTAGCAAGTGGCTCATCATGAGAGGCAATCCCACAGCATATTATTGATCATCATTTCCATGCATTGGCAGAATCACCCTATAGAGCCAATATACAAAGTCATCTTGGCTCCCCGAGATCTTCTGCCTGGTGATTATCAATGGTCCAGTTGTAGTGGGACAACAAGTGTGCACAGATCTTGGCATAATTACAAATTACAGGATTCACACCACATCCATTGTAATGAAACAGAGCACATGTGCCACAATTAAATCAGTCAACAACTTGCAAGGATATAAGTGAGATATAAGGCAGGTATTAGGGTGATTACATCTGATACTGAGCCGAATGCCCAACCCACACAAAGAGCAAGCTATTCCTCTCAATCCACACATTTATGCTCTTGACTACAAGGTTGAAGACATTCTCAAGGTTGATCTGTTAAATTTTGCCAGAGCCATTGTGAATGGTTGCAATCATCAACTGCCACAGATAAGCAACTACAAAAATTGCAATAAGTCATTGCCCATGAATGGCCTGACTACATTCAGAATGTACCAGAGAACTTCTGTTCATTTTGGCCATACAGAACTCAATAGATTGTGAAAAGTCATTTTCAAGGATAAACATGTCCTGATTCAAAAAGAAACATGCCAGGCTATCATGTTCATGTCACACCAGGGAAGTTATATGGAAATTGAAATTACAAGATGGCTGGCATACAAATCAGTATCCGGTGAGGAATCAAGCAAAATATTTGACAATGTAAATCATCAGAGAATCCCTACAGTGTGGAAACAGGCCCTTCGGCGCAACAAGTCCACACTGACCCTCAGTGCATCCCACCCAGACCCATCCCCCTATAACCCACGTAAGCTACACATCCCTGAACACTATGGGCAATTTAGCATGGCCAATCCACCTAACCTGCACATCTTTGGACTATGGGAGGAAACTGGAGCACCTGGAGGAAACCCACGCAGACACGGGGAGAATGTGCAAACTCCACACAGACAGACACCCAAGGCTGGGTCCCTGGTGCTGTGAGGCAGCAGTGCTAACCACTGTGCCATCGTGCCAACCACTGTGCCATCGTGCCACCCCACCATATGCCAACATATCAACCCCAGCAGGACTAAGGGTGTTGTACTTAACTGCTTGCAGTATATGAAACAAGGTAAATGAGCTTGTAGCACAGATTGAAATCAACAGGTATGATTTTGTGGGTATGATTGAGATGTGGCTGCAAGGGATCAGGGCTGAGAACCAAATATCCAAGGATACATGTCATATCAAAAGGACAGGCAAATGGGCAATAGGGTGGGATTGCCTTGTTAGTCAGCAAAGAAATTAAATTGATAGGAAGATGTGATGTAGAGTCGGAAGTTGTAGAATCTGTGTGGATAGAGTCGAGGAACCACAAAGGAAAAAAGATCCTGATAGGAGTTATGTCCAGGCCTCCTAGCAGTAGTCAAGATATAGGAAAGAAAATAAGGCAGGAGATAGAAAAGGCATGTAAGAAAGGCACTATTACAATCATCACGGGGGACTTCAACACGCAGAACTGGGAAAATCAAGTTGGTAGCAGATCTCAAGAAAAATAATTTGTGGAATGTCTACAAGATGGTTTTTTTACAGCTGCTTGTAGTAGAGCCTACAAGGGAACAGGCAATTCTGGATTTGATGTGTAATGAGGCAGACTTGATGAGGCAGCTTAATGTGAAGGAATCCATGGGACCAGTGACCATAATATGATAGAATTCACCATGCTGTTTGCGATAGAGAAGCTGGAATCAGATGTAACAGTATTACAAGTGAGTAAAGGTAACTACAAAAACATGAGGGAGGAGCTGGCCAGAGTTGATTGGAGAGGGATGCCTAGTAGGGAAGGTACTGGTGCAGCAATGGCAGGAGTTTCTTAGGGTAATTAAGGATGCACTGTAGAAATTCATCTTAAAGAAGAAACATACTAAGGGCAGGATCAGGCAAGCAAAGCTGATAAGGGAAGTCAGGGACAGCATAAAAGCAAACAATGCGGTGAAGAATTATGTGAAGCCAGAGGATTGGGAAGCCTTTAAAAACCAGATGATAACTAAAATAGTGTTAAAGGTGGGGGATGAAATATGAGGGTAAGCTAGCTAGTTATATAAAAGATTGCAGTTTTTTAGATATATAAAAGCTAAGGGAGGGGCAAGAATGGACATTGGACTGCTGGAAAATATGGCTGGAGAAATAGTAACGAGGAACAAAAAAATGGTAGAGGAACTGAATAAGTAGTTTGCATCAATCTTGATGGTGGAAAACACCAGTAGTTTACCAGAACTTCATGAGAGTCAGGGGGCAAAGGTAAGTGTAATGGCCATCACTAAGGAGAAATGCTGGGGAAGATGAAAGATCTGAAGATGGATAAATCACTTAGACCAGCTGGACTGCTCTGCAGAGTTCTGAAGAAGATGGCTGAGGAAATAGTATGGACATTGGTGATGATATTTCAGGAGTCATCAGAGTCAGGGACGGTTACAGAGTATTGGAAAATGGCAAATGTAACACCCCTGTTTAGGAAGGGATGAAGGCAGAAGACAGGAAACTATACGCCAGCTAGCCCGACATTAGTCATTGGCAAGGTTTTAGGGTCCATTATTAAGGATGAGATTGCAGAGTACTTGGAAGTGCATGGTAAACGAGGGCTGAGTCAGCACAGCTTTGTCAAAGGGAGGTCATGCCTGACAAATCTGTTAGAATTCTTTGAGGGGGTAATGAGCACATTAGACAAAGGAGTGCCAGTGGGCATGATATATGTGGATGCCCAGAAGGTCTTTGACATGGCGCCACACAGGAGTCTGCTCAATAAGATAAAAGCCCATGGTGTTAGGGGCAAGGTACTGGCATGAATAGAGGATTGGCTGACTGGCAGAAGGCAGGAAGTGAAGATAAAAGAATCTTTTTTCAGGATGGCAGCTGGTGGGTGGTGGAGTTCCACAGGGGTCAGTGTTGGCACTGCAACTATCCATGTTAAACATTAACTATCTGAATGAAGGAACTGTTGCTCAATTTGCAGATAACACAAAGATAGTTGGAGGGACGGGTAGTGCTCAGGAGGTGGAGAGGCTGCAGAAGGACTTAGAAAGGCTAAGAGAATGGGCAAAGAAGTGGCAGATGGAATGCAAAGTGAGCAAGTGTGAGGTTATGCACTTTGGTGGGAAGAGTACAGGCATGGATTATTTTCTTATTTTCAAGAGTGGATGTGGAGAAGATGTTTCCACTAGTAGGAATGACTAGGACCCAAGGGCACAGCCTTTAGAACTGAGATGAAGAGGAATTTCTTCAACCAGAGGGTGGTGAATCGATGGAACTATTGCCACAGAAGGCTGTGGAGGCCAAGTCATTGAGTGTATTTAAGA